TTTTGTCCAAGAAGATCTGTGAAGCCTTTTTTTTCTATATTAAAAATATGAAAATGATGCAAGTCAATATCAATAACCCCTTTGTTTGCAAAAGTGCTGCATTTTAAAATCTGCTCAACCTGTTAAACATATGGTTACGTCACTACCTGTAACATAACCTTTGCCATTAGCCAACGTTTCAGCATTTCAACGCGTTAAAGTTAGAATATTGCATTAGAGTATTCTTAGGTATTTGTTAGATAAAGGTAATATTTACCAATGTAGGTAGAGGTAATTTAGAATAGCATGAACCTTCTCCTTATCTGAAGCTCCAGATAGCAAAGTTCATGGTTGGATTCGATAGAACAACGGTCGAGTCATTGTTTTCAAAATGCACGATATATGGAATAATGTCCGCTTTTTGCACATCTGATTGTTCATGTCGTTCTAAACTACCTATAGACAGCAGCGATCAGTAGTTAATTTTAAAGAGGTCTGTGAACGGATAAACCATAATTACAGTGAAGCCGAGTCAGTTAGTCAGTGAGTCACACATGCACTGCATATCAAATTAGTTTTAAGATAGAAAATTCACCTACATAGCCATTAAACGAATCGATATGTTGCGGTATTACGTATTAACTGAGGAAGTGCAATGTATGAGGTAACCTTACGCAAAATTTACATACAATTTCCGTTTGTTAGAAGATTTTATTAATTCTACATACAAATTAATAAGCTACGCGGCTTGCACTCCGTTCGAAAGATAAGATGAAAATAAGTGGAAGCAGCGGGGTGAAGCTGCACGGCCGCATCCTGCGTTTATTGCTAAGGAAGGAAATTACGTTCTATCCAATGACGGCTACCAACAAAAAGAACCTTTGTGTTAGGAATTATACGTAACAGAACCGATTTGTTACCACAGAGTTATTGCTGATGTTCTTCAGCTGGAAAAGGCCTACGATCACGTACAAAACGATTTTAAAACAACAATTTATGAAACAATACATTTGGTAACGTTTTAGAGGTAGTTCAGAATCCCATGAACCTTGGTCAATCTTTGAATGTATAGCGAGGCACATGCTTAATAGTAATGTACAATATGAATGCATGAAAGTCTTGTTCTCACACATGTGAGGGTTCATGAAATTTTGAACTAGTTGTAATGAATATTTACTTAAAATGTCAGCCGCAGTGATCAAAGAAACGTCTGGACTCGCACATAGGCTTAAACATATGTATTGGCCACATCCGAATGCGAATTGTATTTGCCTCAGCGTTACAGACTCAGTCGCGGTTGGTCACATAAATCGCGCAGTTTCCAGTCGCCTTTAACAAAAAGAAATCACTTCTGCATTTGCGAACCGTTAATTTAGAATTCATCAACAACAGTTAAATGTGTATGCCTGGAGCATGGCTCTGTGTGGGTACGAAACGTAGACGGTGAACGCGACGGAAAAGAAGCGTTCGAAATGTGGCGAACGATGAGGATAACGTGGATAGAAAAGGTTAGAAATGAAGAGGTATTAGAAAGAATAGGAGAACAGAGGACTCTATGGAAGTCAATAAGAAATAGGCGAGATAGATTGGTAGGACACCTTCTCAGGCATGAAGGTCTATTAGAAGTAGAAACAGGAGGGGCAGAGGTAGACCTAGATTAGATTACTGTTCGCAAATAGTTAAGGATGTGAGTTGTTCTAGTTTTAGAACCGAGCGGCTTGGCCTAGAGGTTTAGACCATTGCTTAGCATTCGGGAGGACGCCGGTTCGATTCCGGGTCCGTCTGCCTTAGTCCAAGTTTTTCTGTGGTTTCCTTGGATCACTTAGGCAAATGCTGGGGCAGTAATATTTCACAGATAATCTTTCATTCTCTCTTCTGTCTTCATTTCGTCCGTCTGAACTTTCTCTCCCGAACCACCACCCACCCATTCCCACGATTCCTGAAAGCAGGCTGAAGAGGGTCTTCCGGCGTAGTGGAAAGGGACTGCCCGCCCACCAGCATTACTGGCCGGTGGGAATGAAACACCCAAAAGTTTTTAGCTTTTTTTCTAGTTTTAGAGAAATGCGACTCAGGATAGGAAAAAGTGGAGGTACGTGTCCTTAAAGGCAGGTTCTTACTTTAGAGTGTTTAAAAGTTATTTAAAAAATATTTTTGCGGCGCCCTGTCCCATATAAAAAATAATGTACTGTGCAATTTTCCATTTGTAACGTATTTTCCTTTATTACGGTGGTAATTATCAATTTTTTCCGATTGTGGGAGTTCAGAACCGAAGACGTAAAGTATAATTAAATGTAAAACAGAATTTTTTCTTTTTGCCCGCGTTATTGAGCATGGTAACAACATCCTGTAGGCTAGTTGTAGCTGATGTACTTATAAAAACTAAACTGTTGGACCACGGCCGTGGTTAGACACGTTTATGTAAATAACTTTTGCATCCATTTCGAAACTTCTTCACGCTCTTGAAATTTCAAAAACAAAAAAGAAACATTTATTGCAACCCGGTCACGAGTTTGTTGTGCCAAAGGGCCTTCGAATACTCTTTCACAGAGGCGGCTCGTCGCTAAAATTAGTGGGGTGCTGCTCCAGAAAAATTTTAGTCTTTGTTTTAAAATTGTGCAAAAGGAGACAAACATAATAAAATCCTAAAAGAACATCATCGCATTCACGAATATCGATAACAATAAGAGCAACTGATAACTATCGCAATATCGATATTAATATTATAATTATTATTATTAATATTAAAGAATGTATGTATCGAGTTATAAAATTCCAAAATTATAAAAGAAAATTCTTATGTTATTTAAATGGGAAATAGAAAATTGCAAAATGTCACCTCTCAATGTTAATATATATTAAAGGCTCATATTTTAACAGAATGTACGTCTATTAATTTTTCAATGTTCTTCAAACTCTCATTTTTTTGAGACACCCTAATATTGATATATAGGTAATTATCGAATTTTCTTAAAATTAGATATTTTCTAAGGAAAAAAACAAGTAAAAATATAAAAAACAGTTCTACCTTCGAAGGGTGAAAAAAATACTTTCCACCTGTACGTTAAGGTTACCACTTGGCAATGCCGGAATGTGCGCACGTCAGTCAAACTTTCCGTCGCTAAAACTGTGAAGCACTTCGTTCGTGTTGTCTTTTCCTAACCTAATCGAAGTGTAAGCGAAGATTAGGCTATTAGGAAAAGACAACATGAACAATGTGAGTGTTTCTATGTTCATGTCCTTCGAGGCCGTTTTAAATTATTCATTCTAGAAAACTCCACAAATAATTACCTAATTTTAAGTTCAAGTAGGTACGGGTAGATCGCAAACCAGAAACAGGTCGCATAATAAAGTAGCACCAATATCTTTATATCTTTTTCTTTAACTAAGGGATGGCTAGTAATATTAAGTTTCAAAGTTTAAAGATATGTAGATAAGTAAAAAAAATAAGTCATTTCATTGATTATCGTTTGTAATCGCATTCTCGAAAACGGCTCCAACGATTTCGATGAAATTGACAAATAGGGGTTTATTGGGACTAAATATGAATCTAGTATCGTTTCTGGAAAAATTCGTTCTCACGTGCAAAGCAACGAACTTGATTTCCCTGCGTTATTCGATTGGTAAAATCTCATATTATTGAGGTCCAACATGGAAATCGAAACGCATATTTAGATTTCTGGACGTATATGGGGAATTTTGGAAACTGTTGCTTCGTTTAGATGTTTTATTTATTAAAAAAGACGTCCACATAAATCATTTTAATTAAATTAAACATGTATGCGTTGTAGGTATACTTGGAATTTTTGTTTCAACTAGGATGATTTTGTTGATTTTATATGTTTCACAAATCTTATACATATTTCTATTTTGAGGGGCCTAGGTAAACAACTCTTCTTTTAACTTACTAATAATAAAACCGAAACACGTGCCGTTTGTCACCGAGAAGTTTCCATAGCGATTAAAGAAAAAAAATGTCGTATGTCTCAACAATTATAATTATTATCGAATTAAGGTAAACTGTATACTTTTAAACAACTTGTGAAATACACATGTGGTTATGTATATATTTCAGAGTATAGAGCCGTGAAAAGCAACAGTAAATCTTCTTTGTGCACTGCTAATTAGAAATAAAAATAAATGCACTTGTGTTTTACACTATTATAATTCGCAGCGAGATAATTTTTGTTTTTAACTTCCCAGTGTATAGGGAAATTATTGTAAAGGGTCCGATCATAAAAATCGCGGTTTTCAACATATGTTGAAAAAAGGTCAAAGCGTATTAACAGCAATATGATCCGAAAAGAACACTCGGTCAAGTCGTTTTTTTTGCTTAAAAAAAGAATGAAAATTAGTAAATTCTGGAAATTTTTGAAAAATATTTATCTGATACTTGGTTCTGATATAACTCATTACTCTGAAATAAATAAGATATTTCTATCCAGTACGAGATAAAAAACTTTTATATATTTTTTGCAACATTAATAAAAAAAATTAATGTTGCTTGAATTTTTGATTTTCATGAAAATTACTCTTTATCATACTGAAATGTTATTCGTGTGGACCTTAAGGGTCGCACCAGTGATGCGACACTCAGAGTCCAGGTTGTTAATATTTTCCGTTTAAAAACTTTAATACTAATAAAACACTAATAATTTGTGTAGTATATTTATAAAATGTTTGTATAATTTTAAGTAAATATTTTTTAATTTAATTTATCAAGAAAATAGAGTATTAATGGCTTGTACTTTATTGCTGAGTATTAATTATAATCTCATTTTGCCATTGTATAACTTATAGAGACCTAACCTAACCACTAAATAATTGATGTACTAACTAATTAATTTATGTGTTACTGCCTGTTTAGTATTTTTATAGTAGTAAAATGCTGGCCTTTTAATTTGTTGATATTATTTACGTAGCCTGTTTTTCTTTTCCATTAACTACTTCATTATTTTATTCAGTTCCACAAAGAAATTTATAACATAAAAGGTCAACAGCAATGAAGAAAAACTCTGACTCACCTGACTTATATTGGAGACAATTTTGACTTGGGGTTTTTCGTGCTTACTCATGTAGAAATGGTGCACCCGGTGGTTGTCCCTTGACTCAATTGTGGTACCTTGACTATCGGGGGTGGTTGATTCGACGAGTAGCGTTGAAAAATCGGTGCTACTCGTCACGACGGCTTGCGTCGTATTTTTAACTTGCGCCGTCGAAGCCGTCGTCCATGTACCCGACGACTTCCTGGAGCTAGTAGTCGAACTCGAATTGATTGCGGAACTCTTGGTGTTCTTCAAAATTGTTGCAGTGGAAGTTTTCGTTGAGGGTTGCGCGGTGCTCAGAATTTTTTGCGTTGTGACCGGCGCGTGAGTACCACCGGATTGCCTCTGTTGAGGGGGTAGTTTACTCGAAGGGTTGTTACGTTTCGTCGTATTCGTACGGACAGTTGCAGTTGTCTTTTGTGCAACCACTTTTTTGGTTGCTATCGCGCCCGGACTTGTCGGTTTTTTCGTAGTGGAAGCCGTTTCCGAAATAGTCGTTATAATATGCGATGATGATGATAACGACGGCGGGGTCGAAACGCTGCTCGTTGGCAAAGTGTTCTCGCTGCCCTCACCAGCTTTCGCCTGCCGAAACCACGGAAAACTATTCAACAATTCTTCCGGTAATTTCCAAAGTTGACCATCGGCAGTGTTCCAAAGGACGAAAATCACAACGACAGTAGTTACGCGCATCTTTGCAATTCTTCCAAGTTACAATAATTAACCGGCCGAAGAAGAAAAGGATAGTGTTGAGTTAGCACGCGTCCTTGAAGCAGGTGAACCGGCGAAGGCCCAAGACGGTCTGAACGGCGTTGAAGGTGTTTTGCTCTAACTAGAAGCCGCTAGTTGTAGTTGCAAGCTAACCAAGCACCTATAACCCACTTCTTAACCAATGGAGCCCTCTTGTTCTTTGGATGTACCCAATCGCAGCATCTAACACTTTATCAAACCCAATTGCTAACACTTTAAATCTATTTAATGCTCGATTATTGTCCTAATCCACAATAATCAAAATTCGGACTCGCTTGAAAGGCATTTCACCACATATAATTTAATTGAACGAAAATCGAACCGGCTTCCGATTTGCTCCGTTTTGGACAGTCTACATTCGTACAGGGTTGCGAATAATGCATTTACTTTTAATTACAATAGCAATGGTTAATGTAATTAATTTATATCAATTTTATAATCGATAATGTAATTATTTTGCAATCCTGCATTAGTGTTTGGAATTTTTGAACAATGTAAAATTAATGTTAAAAGCATCCTCTATTTATATATTGTCTAATAAATATACGACACGTTTTAAAACCGCATTGCTATAGATAAGTACCTATATCTTCTGTCATACAATCAAAATATAAAATAAAAATTTCAAACACTCCTTATATATACTATATAAAACTGAAATTGAAACCGTGCCATTACTACCATACTCGGATAAAATACTAAAAAAGGCATTTAAATACAAATACGTATAGAGTAGGTATTGTAAAAATATTAAAAAAAATCTAAATACTTTAGAAGTACATCAAGTACCGCAGTTATAGACAGATCACTTTCGGAATTAGTCTTATAATGAAGGCATATCTAGCACTTCAAAATCGATATAGTATTTCAGATAGAATACCTTCATTGAATTATATTTAAATACACATATATATTAAATACTTTTAATCATCGGCATCAGTATTTAAATTATATTCGAAACACCATGAAGCCATAAATTTATTCAAATACATATTCCAAATACTTTTATATCAAATACTTAGGAAGTATGCTTACTGCTTATCAGTAATAGTGTTAGCTTTCATTTCGCATGGACCAAGGGCTGTAATACTGCAAGTATATAATCTCACATAATTCAAAACACCCTTAGTTCCGTGGTAATGTTACTAACATTACGCACCTAGGCAAGAAAATGTTGATTTCCTGCCCTTGATCGTTTGCAATTTCCCGGTAAGAACCTCAGTCACGTCCACACAAGAGATTTGATATTTAAATTATTCATATAGACTGGATTCGTTGCTAACAAAAGACAAGAAAGGCGACTCTAACAGGATGCAGAGGATGCAATTTTGGAACATGTTGAATTGCATCCCACATAAAGGTCCAGAAAACTGGAATCTACTTCAGGAATTCCACATAGAAGTCTTCAAATGATCTTAAAAAACATCTGAGTTTCATGTCGGTTAGCAGGTTAATGAAAATAATTTAGATCATCGTATGCAATTTTGTCATCAGGAGATGAGTTATAGAATTGTGGACAGAGGCGGATTAAATGTCGAGAGCGCTCTAGGCTAGCACCTCATAGGCGCCCCTCTGGCGGTCATATATTTTGCAAAATACTTTTTTTTTATTAGGTATTTTCTTATTTTTTTTTTTTTGGGTTTAAAAACTTCCGGGCGCGCCCCTTTTTAACCTTGCGCCCCTAAACATATGACTACCTTGCCTTATGGATAATCCGCCACTGATTGTGGAACAATCTCGATTTTTTATATTCGACGTGCTTCTCTTAAGAATGTTCTCTCTTTCTTAACGTCAACAAACATATAATTGTAGATATTGCAGCAATTTGAATTCTGCAATTATGAGAAAAATGTATTCGCAGTCTTCAGAAAACGGGCTGTAATTTTGAGAAATAATATTATTGGTCTATTTTTTCTACCGCATAAATTAACGGGTCAATTTGCTTGAAGACTTAATCTACCCTCACGTTGTGGAGTTTCTTGAAAATGACGATCACATTACAGGGAATGATGTGTTTTTATTTAACAGGACAACACAACACTCTTATACGTGATTTTTTGTACCAACATTTTCCCAAACACACTGGTTTGATAGAAGAAGATCCATTGAATAGTCTCCACGATCGTCACATCTAACATCTTTGGATTTCTTCTTATATGGGGCCATTTAAACAGTGTTATGTACAAAGCGGAACCTATCTCTTTAGAACATCGAGAGAATGTTGAACAAAGGTTACATTACACTGTATGGAAATTAACGGCTTCCAATTTGAACATTTAATCAATCAAAACTTGTTTCAGAACTTCTTTTATTTAATTCCAACTAGGTTTTCGCATTAATTATAACTGAAAACAAAAGTATGTCAGCATTTTTGTAAAGGCAATTAAAGCACCTTTAAAATGATGTGTCACTTGACCTCCATTTCATTTAAGATTCTTGAAGGTGTTGCCGCCCCTTTTAAAAAGGTGACCTTACATCTATGAATTTACAATCAAAAGATGTCCCTCTTGAAGAAAAAAATCGACTTCTTCCAGAGATTTCCGAAAAAAAAATTAGTTGAAAATTTTCTATTGAAGTCTACTGAACAACTCTTTGTTTTTTAAGAAGAATTCCGGAAAACCCAAAAATTCACTACTTCACATTTAACAGTCAATTGTGACGGTATACTTCAAGTAATTACGTACACAAATAGTAAAGCGCACACATTATTTGATTCCAAAAGCCGACAAACACCACACAAATCCTAAATTTTACCACCAAATCTCACTAGTTAATAATACGGTAAATAATCGCTACACGCCTATCCAACTATTGCAGCGAAAACAACATCATTCCAGGCACATATATTGGGTTCCAAAAGGAACTTAGCTCCGTTGGCCCAGTACTACAATTAGAAACCGAAGCTATTTCCTCAATGACTTTGAATTAACCTTTAATATAATTTAGCACAATACGCCACTATTAAAACTACCACAAATAACTTTCTTTGTAGATTTATACAATCATTTTTAATATTCATACGTAATTACTGTATTGTCCTCGTCAGTCTGTATTTAATATATGAATATTTCAAACTAGCCTCATAAGGTTGGTGTTAAAGTCGACGAAACGTTTCAAAAGGTAATAGAATTTTACTTCAGTACCAACACCGATTATTATCAACTCTCTATTGATCGTGTGCTTATGCACAAAAGAAATATTGTAAAAAATATGGACAACTTCTGGTTCAATCACAAATTATAATAATCTTTAACAAATAGTCCATCCAAAATTAAAATCGGAAACACCTTGACGTTCGACAGCCACTCGACAATTCAACACGTCTAGCTCAATTTTGATTTTAAAGGATTACGAACAATATGTGTTAGATTATTGAAAATTTGCAGAAGTGATTATTTTGATAAAATTGGAGAATGTAATTCAATCAAATTCTTGTGGTCATATGTAAATAAACTCGATTAGTCTAAAACAAGCTCTGATATTGGAGATCAAAAACATTTTCGTTATCAAAACTGAGTTTATTTGAAAAGCTCGAAATTTGTCAAAAAAAAAAACGTTAGGTACTCTTTTCTGCTGCAACGTAATAGAAATACCTCATCATCATCATAGAGTCGTCAATCCTAAGACTGGTTGGACACTTACCTCCACTCTTTCCTATCCTGAGCTAAACATCGCATTTCCCTAAAACTAGAACCCTCATCCTTAACTATTTGTGAACCGTAATCTAACCTAAGTCTACCTCTACCCCTCGTAACCCCTGTTTCTGCCTCTAATATGTCTCTGACTAGACCTTCATGCCTGAGAAGGTGTCCTACCAACCTATCTCGCCTATTTTTTATTGACTTCCATAGAGTCCTCTGTTCTCCTATTCTTTTTAATATCTTTTCATTTCTAATCTTTTCTATCCACTTTATCCTCGTCATTCGTCTATAACACCACATTTCCAACGGTTCTAACCTTTTTTTCCGCCGCGCCCATTGTCCATGTTTTGCACCCGTACAGCACCGCGCCAACCTTTTTCGAATTTCTAAATCAACCGTTCGCGAGCATAGAAGTGACTTCTTTTTATTAAAGGCGACACGACCCTGCGCTATCCTCTGCTTTATATCCCTACTACTCCTTCCGTCCTGACTTATCTGACTTCCTGGATATCTAAAATCAGCCACTTCTTCTAATTTTTCGTCTCCTATCTTTATATTCGCTCTTTCCGTACTTTTTCTTCCCTTGCATACAAGTATTTCAGTTTTACCTTTATTTATTTTCACACAGTACTGTTCTGTCTGTACCGCTTCCATTTTATTTAAAGCTATCTCTAGGTCCTCCTTGCTAAATGCCAATACTGCTATAAGTATCTATTTAATTACCAAATAATAAAATAGGCAAATATCTTTCGACATTTTAAACATTTTATAATCTTCGTTGGATGTTTCAATTTAAGCTTACGGGAAAGTGTATAATACCGTTTGCTTTCCAACGGATGTTGAAGCAGTGCTCTCGAATTGCCAATGTGCCAATAGCAGTTTGCAATGAAGCACCTATTTTTTTTTCTCGACTTGCCCAAGTTTCTTTGCCTCAATTAGTTCGTGCATTATGTAGGTTTCTATTATACACAAAATAAAGTGCGGTTAATATGTCTAACTGTTCAATCTTTACAAAGTGCCAGTCAGGTGTTTTCATTACAATTAATTGAACAAGACACATGGTCACTGCGGATTTTTATTGGTTGTTTAATAAGAACTAATGAGTTTTTTTTAGATCAGGCCAGCGAGTAGTAAAACTCTCGAAATGACAATAAAATCGTCCAATTAATCAAAGCAATGTGTGTTAGTTGTACACACTTACAATTAGGTATAACAGTCATTACTGCGACTGACATCTTTAAGCCAACGCTGAAACAAAGAAAATTAATGAGATGATAAAACAAAAAAAAGTATAATAAAACAACCTGTGTGGTGTCGTGGGACACTTGGTAGGAACTACGTTACTATTCTACAAATATTAATTATAAATTTTGGTCTGTTTGTAAAAAAAAAAAAACTACGTCCCCGAAACGTATAATTACAATTGAAAAATTATTTTTTTAATGATGTAACTAGAAATTTACAGTTTTCGAATGTTTGCTTTTACTTGTGCTATAAAACATTGCTTCCTACCAAATGGGAAATACCCTGTTG